TAGAAGGTTTTGATGAGGGGTATTACTTGAATTAACTTACTTTAAATAAAAATTGCAAGACTTGGGAGAACAGACTATAAGAGGATGTACACAAGGATGGTTAGGATGCTATTATGGTAATCTAAACAAAAGATCACAGTGGTATCTACCAGGGTGTTAGTAGAAATGATGAGAAGTTGGAAAGTTTCTGGATATATTCTGAAGACAGAGACCCAACAAGATTTACTGAAGGAGTGTACGTGGGATGTATGAGAAATTACTCCATCCAAGGATTTTGGCCAGAGCAGCTCAGTAAATGATGGCCACTGTTATTGTATGCTGGAAGAGGAACAGGGAGGTTTTCATAGTAGATTCAGTAATTTGGTTATAGACAGGTTAAGTTTGAGGTGTCCATAATGACATGCAAGTGAAGACATGAGTAGGAAGGTTGATTTGAATATAGAAATTAAGAGGGAGAGCCCTGGATTCCATATTTAAAGTTGAAAGTTATCATGTGATACTTGTTTCAAAGCTGAGTGCTAATGTAGTTGAAAATGAGAAGAGTTGGAAAGGACTAAACTTTGAGGAATTTCAGCATTTAGAAAGAGGAAGAAGAGAGGGCTGTAGAGATTCTGAGGGAAAGGCCTGTGTGTTAGGAGGAAAACCAGATGTGGTGTCCATCCACTAAACAAAGTGTTGGGATGATCTTTTTTATCACATGCTCCTGGAAAGTCACTGAATTCAGTGTCAAAGTCATTTGTGAGCTTAAAAGAGTTGTTCTCTGAAATCAGTGAGGACTTCGTTCCAGTTGGAAGAGTAAGAGGGAAAGGTGATTAAGACAGCAGGTGCAAACAATTATTTTAAGGGACTTTATTATAAAAGCTGAGAAATGAGGGGGGAGCCCTTAAGCTCAAGAAAGTTGTTTTGTTCTTTTGTCCTTAATGGCATGCAGAAGATCTAGTTGGGAGGAGGAAAAAGATGGCATCAGAAAGGACAGGGGTTCTGTAGGAACCAAGACTTTTCAGTGGGGTAAATGGAGACAAGTCTAACACAAGCTTGTTCCTTGTTTCAGGAGAGGGAAGGCAGAGAGTATGAGAACGGATTGTAGGTAGGTTGGTGGGTTCTCTTTTGAGAACTGGTTAATTGTTGAGTTCATCTGTAGAGAGTAAGGTTGGGGTGGAAGGGTGAAAGAGCAGGTAGATGAGGCAACTTTTTCAAAGCTCCTTTTCCTCTTTTATAAAAACAAGGAGAGTATTACTAGATTGTTTCTGTGGTTCTTCCCAACTCTTAAAAATACTACCTTTCTAATCCCTGAAGTGTGTAACTTCCCCAGTTTTCTTACTTGGAAGACCTGGCTATTAAGACTTCTTAACTATTTTATTATTCTTAGGTATATACCTAACACTGTACCATCTTAACCATTTTTAAGTGTATAATAGTTCAGTACTGTTAAGTATATTCACATTGTTGGGAAACAGATCTCTGAACTTTTTTATCTTGCAGAATGGAAACTGTCCATTACGCAACTCCCCTTTGCAATGACCTACCTTCACCCCCCTGGTAACCACCATTCTACCACCATTCTACCTTCTGTTGCTATTAATTTGACTATGTATACCTCATGTAAGTGGCATCATAAAGTATTTGTCTTTTTGTGTCTGGCTTCTTTCAGTAAGCATAGCACTCAAGGTTCATCCATATTGTGGCATGTGATAGGACTTCCTTCCTTTTTAAGGCTGAATAATAATGTATGTATATACCACAATTTGTCCTTTACTATTTTTAATAGACACAATTGTGTGTGTGTATAAATTGAGTTACTAGTATCGCATTTCTTGATTTAATCTCATGTCAAAGTAGTTCTTGTAAGTAATTTTTGCAAAGCCATAAAATTATTTCCTGTCTTCTTTTGCTGTTCGTTGATCTATGTATTCTTCCTATTCTTCGCTTCACACTTTGGGCAACAAAGGGGGACATGACCCAGCATATTTGTAGTGACAGTGCTTTTCATTGCATGAACCGTGACATTCAAACTAAAATGGCTGACTTAGAAAATGGAATACATTCAAAATTGCTCTCCCCCCCCAAAAAAAGAAAATCATCATGACTTGCATTTTTGCATAAAAAGACATTCCATAATTTGCAGTATTGTGATGATACATATTTGACAAATATTATTGAAGGCCAAATCTTTTTTTTCCAGTTTTATGGAAAAATAATTGACATAGATCACATATAGCATGATGGTTGATTTACCTCTGATGTGAAATGATTACCACAGTAGGTTTAGTTAACATCCGTCTTCTCAAAATAAAAGTAAATTCCCTTTTTCTCCTTGTGATGAAACCTCTTAGGATTTACTCTCTTAACAATATTCCTATATATCATACAGCAGTGTTAGCCATAGGCATCATGCTGTACATTACAACCCTGGTACTTACTTATCTTACAACTGCAAGTCTGTATCTTTTGACCACTTTCCTCCAGTTTCCCCTCTCTCTTACCTGCTGCCTCTGGGAACCACAAGTCTGATCTCTTCTGTCTTACTCCATGAATTCAGATTTCTTAAAAATTCCACGTGTGAAATCCTAAATTATCTTTGTGACTTACTTAGCATTATGTCCTCAAGATCCATCCATGTTGTCACAAATGGTAAGATTTTCTTTATGGCTACATTGCATATGTATATACATGCCTTTACTTTTTTATCCATTCATCCATCAGGGGACACTTTTAGGTTGTTTTCTTGTCTTGGCTATTGTAAATAATGCTACTGTCAACGTGGGATGCATGTATCTTTTCAAGTTAGTGTTTTCATTTCCTTCAGATGTTCCCAGAAGTGGAATTGCTGGATCATATGGTAGTTTTATTTTTAGTGTTTTGAAGTTTCTCCATACTGTTTCCCATGGTGGCTGCACCAATGGACAACCCCACCAACTGTGAACAAGCAAGCATTCCCTTTTCTCCATTCTAACAGGAGTGAGGTGGTATCTTGTGAGTTTAATTTGCATTTCCATAATAACTAGTGGTGTTGAGCACTTTTCACTGTTGGGCCTTTGTGTATCTTATTTGAGAAATGTTTTTTCAGGGAAGGACAAATATGAACTGTTTTTACAAGAGCTAGCAGGCAGTAAATGTAGTGAATATGGTTGGTTTTCATTTTGTTTTGGTATGGGTTTTTTTTGGTAAATTATGCACAGTGCTTCTGTTAATATCTGTGTAGTGTTTAGTAATTGTAGTAGAATGGTTTTGAAAATTGTAAGTGAATTTTTAGGGGCTTTATATTCAAAGTATATTTATTTTTTACAAGAGCTAGCAGGCAGTAAATGTAGTGAATATGGTTGGTTTTCATTTTGTTTTGGTATGGGTTTTTTTTGGTAAATTATGCACAGTGCTTCTGTTAATATCTGTGTAGTGTTTAGTAATTGTAGTAGAATGGTTTTGAAAATTGTAAGTGAATTTTTAGGGGCTTTATATTCAAAGTATATTTATTTATAATGAATGCTTCCTAACCATTGTTACTTTGGTAATTTTTAAATGGTAGGGTTTTAGTAGCTTGTATGAAGACTTTACTGTTTGTTCTGTGTGAAGAATCATGTTTAAAATTAACCTATCTGATAAGTCATGGTGCTTTGAAAGAGCTTTGGCAGTGTTAAATCTCCTTTAGTTTTTGTTGTAGTGTTTTGTATTTACTTTCTTAAATCAGTAACTGGAAATCTGCATGGCTTTGCAGGAACAGTTCTTGGTTTTTAATGTTTAAATAAAATGTTATTTTGATGGCCTTTGTTTATTCCAAGAGGTTGTTTACTGTTACTGTAAATAGTCATTGTTCCTTTGTTTTGTTTTTCTAGACACCTTGTTCTGCTGCTTTGTAAGCATAGTTCTCCAAATAGATAATGATGGAGAACTGAGTTTTGCTGTGGCTGATTGAATAAGAAAAATGGATGTCTGGGAATTTTGAACAGCTGGCAGTCATATATCTACCTTAGCTTTCGGTATCTCCATTATTTCTCCCAGCTCGGTCTGTTAACTAACAGGATGTCACCTACAACAAATAAAACTCCAGTTAGCACTCCTTGCACTGAAGTTATCATTTGGACAGAATCCCATTTATGACAGAATGGTGTGTGTATGGAAATACTTTTTATATTTAGGTGTTTGATAAATCAACTTTAATTTCTTCTGATTTTTTAAAATTTATTCCTAACAATGTAAGGTTTTTGAGGCGTGGATTAGGCCATATTTTCTTTCTGTATACCACAGAGATTTGGACATTCGATAAATATTCAGGAAGTATTTACCTGATTGGGGATAGATCAATTCAGTCATTTCATAGCAGTTTCTGATACTATAAAAAGATACTTTCCTGAATGTATATTTTACAGTACATTTTTTAAAATGAAATATAAAAATTCATTGTAAGTAGTATACTTAAGTATTTCAGTGCAGCATTTGAATTCAAGTTGTATGAACATAATTTCCTTTATATAGTGTCTGGCGTATGGCTCTATTTAGACAAATATGAAACACTAAAGTTTTATATTTTAAAATATAATTGTTCCTTGAGCAATAATGGGTTTGAACTGCACAGGCCCACTTACATGCAAATTTTTTCTATAAACATACTGGAAATTTTTTTGGAGATTTGCAACAATTTGGAAAAATACCTTCTTTAGCTTTATTCTAAGACACAGTATGTAACACAGATAATGTGCAGAATATGTGTTAATTGAGTGTTATCAGTAAGTTTTCTAGTCAACAGTATGCTATTAGTAGTTAAGTTTTTGGGGAGTAAGTTTTTGACAGATTTTGACTGCACAGCACCCCTAACCAGGCCCTCCTTGTTCGAGGATTAACTGCAATGATTGAATTCTGTTGTGTATGGTCAATGGACTGTTTTTTCAGTTGTCTCTGTCAGTGGAACATATGGAAGTCCAGTTCTCAGTCAGAACATATGAATATTCACATGTTTTTTCTGGTTCAAAATTTTGAAAGATAATTTCTGTATTTTTATTTTTCAGAACATCTTAGCCAAACCATCAGGGTCTAACGGAAGTATGGTTCGCCATTCCTCATCTCCCTATGTAGTATATCCACCAGATAAGCCTTTCCTTAATAGTGACCTACGACGCTCCCCAAATAAGCCTACGCTCGCCTATCCGGAAAGCAACAGTAGAGGTAATAGAGCCTAACAAAACAGGTGTTTTTGTGCCTGCTCACTGCTTTTTTAAAAACTCTTTGTGTCTACCATTTATTTTAAAATTAGAGGAGCAGGGTATATTTCTCTCTTGTTTTTAAGCCTCTTAAAATACAGTGCCTGCCTTTTGTTCCTTGATTATTGCACACCACCATCACCATCCACTGAACCGTCAAGGCTCAAGTACTTTGAGCCGCCCAGGACTGCTCAGCCATCTCCAGCGTCAGTCAGAGGCCAAGACCTGTGTTCTTGCTTCTGAAATACCCCAATTCTTGTTGGTTCTGTTTCTTCGTTCTCATTGTTTTGATTCAGGCTCTTATTAGCTATTGCATAGATGATTGTAATACACTCCTAACTAATCACTAATCTCCCTGCTGTCTCCCTCTCATCCCCCAATAGCAGTGTTCCTGTCATTTGCTGTTTTCCATCATCTCTCCCACTTTGAACAAAAGTTTGAACATCTCTCCAAGGCTTGCAAAAGAAAATCTTAGATTTTTCATAATCTAGATTCTACTTTCCTTTCCAATTTCATGTGAACCCTATGCTCTCTTCCATTCTTCCTTACCCATACAGCCTTTGCTCTGGCAACTTTGAAATACATATGTTCCTGGAACAAATAAATTTTGTTCAAATATATTTTGCCATCTATTTTAGTTTTCTTGCTGACTTAACTTGCATTAACAGCTTTAAGTAACACAAATATATTATCTCACTGTTTCTATAGATCAGAAATCTGGGTGGGTTCTGCAGGGTTCTCTTATTTAGGGTCTTCACAGCTAAAATCAGGGTGTTGACTTGGGCTGTATTCCTTGCTGGAGAGCCTAGGGAAGAATCTGCTGCCAGCATATTCATATTCTTGGCCATGTTGAGTTCTTTGTGGTCTCAGAGCTGAGGTTCCCTCACCTCGCGTTCAGTCAGGGCCAGTCTATGCCCCTGGAGGCTGCCTGTGCTCTCCTCCCACTGTCCCTGTGGTCCCCTGCAGGAGTGGTGGGTCAAGGCTCATGCTTCCCATCTCTCTGCCTCCTGATGCAGCATCTTTCCAACCATAGCCAGAGAAGATTGTCTGCTTTTTAAGAACTCATGTGATTGCTTAGATTGGGCCCACTCAAATAATCAGGAATGATCTCCCTGTTTGAATGTCCATTACTTTAATAATATCTCCCGAAGTCCTTCTTGCCATATAACAGGTTCTCTTCAGAGGTCCTAGGATTAAGACATAGGTATCTTTGGATGTCCCTTTTGCCAAGGTTAAGACTCATACTGTACTCTCTGATTGAAATTTTTGTTGTAGAATTGTAGTTTTTTTTTTAAAGACCAAATTACATATTACATATTTCTTCTGAGAAGTCTTCCTCTCTTCCAGCTTCCCCAGCACATACCTCTCCCAGCTCTCCTCAAACATCTTTTCTGAACTCTCCTGGTCCTTTGTTAATACCTCCTAACTTTCTCTTTTTTGTTGTTCGGATGGGGAGGGTGGTTTCTGTACAGGCCTTTCCATCCCCATAATGCAAATAGTTATCATTGGATTGATACAAAAAATACAAAAACATTGTTAAAGTACAATGGATCATAATGATCATCCTAAAGCATTGCTTAAACAGCTCACAACACCATGCTCTGAAAGGATAAAAGAAATCCATCATCATACACATTATTTTTTCTCTTGTTTACTCTCTCCTTCACCTCCTCCTCCTCACCTCCCTTTTCTCTCACATTCCTAAAAACTACTAATGGCACACAAGTAGTATTTAGCTTTTTTATAGTTTCTTTACATAGATGGTAAAGATCAGAACTAGGTGCATTATTGTAGTGGGAGGATTAAATCTAATTTTCAGACTTTCTGTTCCTGCTAGAACTCTGATTCATAATCTTTTTAATGCTTATTTTCTTAATAAAAGTTGTTACTAAAACTTAACTGATTCTTAGGTCCTTATGGGCTTCATTTACTAAGATTTTGCTTTTGTAACCTTTGCATTTATTGTGCAACATTTATTATTTTTTTGAATTGCCAAAGTCTCTGCTATATTCTCATGAGTAGCACTTTATCAGTTATTTTATGAACCATTAAGTTAATTAGCATTTTCTTTATCACCTTTAAATTTAAGATGGCAGTACTTTATAACTAGTAGTTTACTTAGGTAAATTGGGTATCAAATATTGAACTTCTTGAAAAACACCAGACTTCTGAGCCTCCATAATGGGCTATGGTTTATATTGGTTAAATAGTTGGATATTTTTATCTACCAAGCATGTTATATACAGTTCATTAAGTTTATAAAAGTGTCATTCTGAAATTAATTTTTAAAATATTTGCATTGTGTTTCCCAGTTGAATGAAAAAAGTTCCCAGACTAATTTACAAACACCCATTTAACCTATGTGTGGTTAAAATATAAAACTTCTTTTATGTGGAGAACTGTTAGTAAATATAATTGCTAAAGTACTGGTGGTTAAGCACAACTTTAAAAAAACAAATGAAATGCAGTAGCATTCCAGATAAAGCAGTATTTATCCTTTAACTTAATCTTCACAGAAAAACTTGTATAAGGTAAGTATATTCAGAATTTACAGATGAAGAAATATTTGAAGGATGATTGTTTTAACATATGTAATATCAAAAATATTTTCTTTCACCAATTTTTCCTGATGTGTTCAGTGTATCCTCAAAATATTCATTGAATGAGTGAAGTCTTATTTTGAATATATAGTCCATATGATAAATTTTTCTTTTTTACCCAAACATAGTAAATGCTTTTTCTCACTGACACTTTAAGAAGGAAAAGACTTTTTATTCTTCTTTAGTTTAGATATGGTTTAATGTATTTTTATTGATAGATTACCATTTCTTTTGCTATCAGGTTCACCTTGAAAGTTTGACTCATGCTGTGGAAAGAGATAATTACCATGTTTCTTGTAATTCTCATATATTCATTTTGAACTTTAGTTAGAAAAGAAATAAGAAATGTGAAGTTATTGCTGCCTTCAAAAAATGTATTAATTAAAAATGTAGTAACTAGCATCATTCCAAAGACTTCCAGTATAACCCATTGCTTATGTTATTTGTTCAGTACATTTTAGATGACAGTAATGTGAAGAATGGCTTGGACATTTGAAACCAGATTACTAGCTATAAGGCAGTTTTACTAGGCCTTGTCAGCCTTTCGCATAGTACATGTGGAAAATAAGATAATATCTGTACAGCACACTGCAATAAACTGGTGGGGTTGGTGCCAACTAGTTTAAGGTCTTTTACTGTACTAGGCCACTCTTGGCACCCCTAAGACCTGAGAGAAAACATCTTGGCCATATCTAATACAAATTTATGTCACACCTGTTGGAAAGCTCAGTATTATTGAGACCAGTTAGAGAAAGTATCAAGTTAAAGCTATTTATGTTAGCCTATCTGACTTTCTAAAGCATTGGTTCTCATATTTATTGGTACAGGAAACCCTAATAAACCTGTTGTGTGTTTACATAATTTTTTTTTTTGATGAAGAAAAGTTTTTTTTGCAAATTTTAAAAATATAGTACAAAGAGTGTTACTGTTTTGTATTATACTTTGGTAAAACTCTTATCTCTGGTTTAATAGACAACAGGTTGATTCTCATACTCACTTTTTTTTTTTGGTATCATTAATCTACAATTACATGAGGAACATTATATTTTCTAGACTCCCCCCATCACCAAGTCCCCACCACATACTCCATCACAGTCACTGTCCATCAGTGTAGTAAGATGCTGTAGAAGAGTGAATCTTGTCTTCTCTGTGTTGCACAGCGCTCCCCATACCCCTTCCCCCCACATTATACATGCTAATCGTAATGTCCCCTTTCTTCCCCCTCCCCTTTATCCCTCCCTTCCCTCCCATCCTCCCCAGTCCCTTTCCCTTTGGTAACTGTTAGTCCATTCTTGGGTTCTGTGATTTTGCTGTTGTTTTGTTCCCTCAGTTTTTTCTTTGTTCTTATACTCCACATATGAGTGAAATCATTTGGTATTTGTTTTTCTCCACCTGGCTTATTTCATGAGCATAATACCCTCTAGCTCCATCCATGTTGTTGCAAATGGTAGGATTTGTTTTCTTCTTATAGCTGAATAATATTCCGTTGTGTATATGTACCACATCTTCTTTATCCATTCATCTACTGATGGACACTTAGGTTGCTTCCATTTCTTGGCTATTGTAAA